AATTGTCTATTAAAGTTCCTAATTAGCCTCAATTATATATCCTATATAATAAAAGCCTAATATGCAAATCGACCGAATAGCAGAACAACCGATCGTTATGACACACACTGACCACCAGGGGGCAGACGCTCAACACAGGAGCTGCCCCCAGCCTGCAGGCCCCAGGCCAGCCAAGGCGGGTGCCAGTGGGGGTCCCCCCCAATTGCTCCACCAGTCGCCCCACAGAGGGAGGCTACTGGTGGTGGTGGTGGCAGGGCTGGCTGGCAAGTGGGCGGTGATGGGGGATGGGGCCGCCCCCCTATCACCCCGCCGGTTGCCCCACAGATCGGCCCTGATCACTGGCCAGGCTTCAGGACCCTACCCATGCGCAGATTTCGTGCACTGGGCCTCAAGTATATATATAATCTAGTAATTCTTAGGGTAATATTTTCTCTTATTTTTTAATTGGGCAAAAATTTGATCAAAAGGATTCAAATTGTGACTCAATTGTGGTCATCCACTCCCTCCTCCAAAAAGCTTTCCTCAATTCTAAAAAATACCAGCCATTCATTTTTTAAATCTCCTTGACCCTCACATTCTAAGCACAATCTGATAATATTCTCATGTGTCTTAACTTATTTTCACTTTATACTTCCTTCTGCTCATCTTTACTTTTATTATTGGACTCCAAAGCCTTGGCTATCCATAGTGTCCGGTACTGAAAGCAACAAATATCAACTCCCTTACTCCCTACCTTCCTGTGAGGAACTGTGCAGGTTGGCCAGGTGAATTTAAGAACATAGGAGCTATTCTGGAGGACTTGGCTAGTCCCAACTCTTGCTATAATGTCTTCACTCCATTTAGCCTCCATAAAGGACTAAAACATTTACTCAAATACTAAACTACATGAACCTACCTGCCACAAGACAGTTCTTTTTGAGGAATATTTAATTAGGATCATTTAAGAAGTCTACTTGTAGAGAGAAAAAAAGCCAATTCAAGAATAAGTGTTCACATCACGAAGAAAGTTAAATAAGATCCTTTGTTTTCCCTTCAATGTTATATTGTCTTGAGTTCTTTGAATTTTAGCCATTAGCTCAGTTGTTGACCTTGGGCAAGTTGCTTTGCTTTCCAGGCCTCAGCTTTGTCACCTATAAATGAGGCAACAGACGCGTGGCTTCCGCATAAAGAATTCTCTCGAAGTTGTTTCCCTCTCTGAGATTATCAGCAGAGCTCTTTCCTACATATGGAATGCCATACCAGAGGAAACAGTAATTTATTAAAATACCAAGTAGGTTCCAGAGTCACAAATATTGGTGACATATAAGGCAACTTTAACTTAAATACTTTTTCACCAAGGGATAATTTAGGATGACTAGACCAAAGCAAATCACATTTCATCTATTAAAAATATCACTCAGGGATGAGAATAGGCCAATTTCAAGGAGCTACTAAAACAAAACAAACAAAAAAACCCCCACACAGATGAGCTTACACATAAGATGGAATTTGAAAAGGCAGTAGTTTAATTTTCCACCCTAGAATGGATTGGTGTTATTGGTTCCAATACTGCCAGATCAACATACCCCTCGTGCTTAGCTGAGCCAATGATTGATTTGATCTGACGGGCCCGAGAAGTGACCCTATTGTTTCACTCACTAGAGGATGTCTGATCTCTTATGACCTTATCCTTTGACTGAGGTCAGCAGAACAGAACACGCATGGGGCATCCTAGCTGAACACCCCGGACGGTGGCCTACAAGTGGCCCAGGAAAAGCAATTGTATTAATGCATTCAAGTAATTTATTGGCGGTTTTGTGTGATAGCATATTTACTGAAACGAGGCCTGTCATAAAGATCAGGTTGGAGCAGGAACACATGATTTCCTGACCAGCCAGATAAGATAAATCAAGTGCCTTTTCTGTCCCCTGCAGCCACCTCCACCCACTCCTTGTCCTCCGTGCTCAGACAAATTGAAGCGCATGCCACAATTTGCAGAGGGAAAATCAAACTCAATTTCGCAGGACAATGAAGTGAGTTTTGGTCTTGTCATGTCCACTGACATATTGATCCTTAGAAGATTGAAAAGATGAGAATGTTCTAGGGTCTGGCTTTTACAAATAAAAATGGATAGAAATGCAATGTGTACATGAAGGACAATAGAGCATTTATGCAGCTTTGCAAAGATGCAAGAACTCGGGGGCTCATGTTGCAAAACAGCGCGCGGTGTAAAAGTCCCTCTCAAAAGGGTCAGGTTTTATGTCCCTTTAGAATTACAGCCCGGAAGACAAACGGTCCCCTAATCCAGGTTCATTTAAAGTGCAGCTGATCATTTCAGCGCTAAAAGGAATTTTCACTGGTGAAGAAAAAAGCCCCACCTTCCCTTGGCCTTTTGTCGAATATGTGTCAGATCTATAGTGCCCTCAGCCCAGCGCTCCATCAAACATTTTCCATTTAGCCTGAAAGGGATGGAGCCAAATCCCTTACATGTCCACCCTGTGATCTGCAAAGTGCTGTGACTGCAGCCTCCCTGAGTTGCGTGAAGACCGCACGGTTATTCACGTCTGTGGAGGAAGCATTAAGAAAGGGAACCACGCCCGTGCCGGTTTGGTTACGTGGATGGAGCGTTGACCTTCGGACTGACGAGTCCCAGGTTCGATTTGGGTCAAGGGTTGTGGGCTTGATCCCCAGGAGGGGGGGTGCAGGAGGCAGCCGATCAATGATTCCCTCTCATCATTGATGTTTCTCTCTCTCTCTCCATCTCCCTTCCTCTCTGAAATATATATTTTAAAAAGAAACAGAACCGCTTTATTATGAGGTGATGATGAAATTGTAAGAAACACAATGAAACACCCCGGAGTCTAGTAAGCGAAATTTCCAAATGAGCAGGTGAAAGGAAAACAAACAAACAAACGAATAAAACCAAAGGGATGGATCTGTGTTTCCGGGTAGGCAGACTTCAGACACTATGAAAACAGGGTGGCTTCCTAACTCCCACGTGCTGTGGAAACCCCGCACAGTCCCCTGCCACCCCGTGGACACCATTACTGCACAATGGGTGCTGCCCTGTGCCTCATATGTAAGTGCTGCAAACATAGCTGCGTGTCTTAGTGGAAGGCAACCAGGTCAATGACGCCCGTGAAAACCCACCCGTGGGAAGGGCCGGGGGAAGGAGCATCTTCATCGATCCTCATTTTCAGGTTTCAAAGCAGAAAGGGCTTCTCATCAGGCAGGATCTTTAAAACATTAGAGCGCTGCCTCCCACGGCCCCACTCGAGAGGAATTACTTGTGTTAAGTAAAGATACATTCATTAGTAATTGCGAGGCCTTTTATTGTGAAACGCAGAGAAAATTTCTTTGAGATGTATTTTTTTTTTTCAGCCGACAAGAGAATGACCTCACTTCATCAATCAGTTTGACTAAAGTAATGATTTTCTTTGAATTAAAATTGGTTGAAAGCTCTAAGTATTTCATTTTTTGGGCTGAGACACATGTAGTTAATGTCACAGCTAATACATTTGTCAGTCAGCTAATTTTCTTTTTCTATTAGAATAAGTAAACATCAGCGCTTTCTTAAAAGCACACTATTTACCATGTGTCAGGAGCAATGTAGGGAGAACTTATTTGAAAATCACGAGGTAGGACATTATGAAATGAACTGGAATCGCAGGCAGACAATGAAGGAGAAGCGTGAAAGGAAAAGGCATTTAACGATTCCAAAGTGCTGGTGGGTGTGCCTAGAGGTGAGTGGGGGAGGGGGCGTTTAGAGGGAAAAGATGAAAACTATAAAATCAAGCCCAAAACGCAGGACACCGATACTGGAAAATATGAAAGAAGCTATGGCTTTTACGAAAGTTCAAATAAAAACAAGAATGAGAGTGAAACAAAAGAGAGCTCATAAATGTTCGATGAGGATAAAAAGAAAATGAGATCTTGCCCACATGACGTAAGATCAGAGAATGGTTCTCCGTAGATGCTTGTTATTTGGGAGAATAGGTGTAGAGATTGAAGAACAAACTCTATTTCAAAGCTTTTAAAGACATAATATACCCGCTTGTGCTACAGTGTGTCAGATTTTGTTTACAGCAGCTGTAGTATTTTCACAACTAGAAGAAAAGAATAACTAGTCAGTAACAATGGCGTTACTCTGTCCTGTCTACTGGCAGGTGCGCTTTCTAAAATTAGAGTTCTTTGGGGTCATTTGTTATCACAGATCTCTGGAGCATGAGGTGATGTCCAAACTGTGTGTTCCAAACCAAACATTACCACCACCGGAAAATGTCCATGTAAAATGGACTTCAGAGTATCATTTTTAGCTTTTTTTTCTCTATATAACATAGTTACTAAAAACCCCCACTTTACCTGCAAGTAGAGAGAATAGTTAACAGTACAAAGTGCTATAGCACTTTAGTTTTTGCAATAAAATTATGTTCTTCAGCATAGAATAGTTAAATCTCTTATGTTTCCTTTTAAAATGTGAGGAACTGTATTAAAGGGAAGGTTGAGAACCACTGCTCTACAGCAAGGAAGTTGGATTCCACACAGATTCTGACACTCTGTCTGGCCCTGGAAGTCTGCAATAAGAATCCCCAAAGATGACTATTGAAAGGCACAGAGCCGAACTATGAGAGCAGGCGCTGCACCCTGAAAGGTGGTCTGCAGACTCTCCTGCCTCTAAGTCTAGCTTTGGAGTCTAGCCTTAAATGCTGGGACCCGTGTGGCAAACGGGAGAATCAGGAACTTTCCCAACATTCCCTAGTGGGCAGACCCACAGCCTGTTTTAAAAGTACTCACCGGGCCTTCAGGATCAGTGACCAACTTTCCACAGGAAGGAAGGGCACCGACAAGCCAGCTTTTACGCCAGCTATGTAAGAGCCGCACCACACACATCAGTACCAGGCATGGGCACGTGATCACTGTTGAAAACATACGCTGCATCCGGCCTTCTCAGGAACCCTCATGGACGTAAGTCGAGGCATCAAAGATAACACTGTTTGCAATGTGACAAACGGGCACTTTACCTGGCTGAGACAAGAGCGGCGTGTAAGGGACTTTCGGTTCGATTGCACTCATTGGCGGAGGTAGCAAGGGGTTAGCAAAGCTGCGGAGCGGATGCGTGGGTCGGACACAGGCTGTGGGGATGGTCCTGCTTGGTGCCTCCTCGCTGCTGGGATGCTCAGGCTGCGCTGGGGGCAACATGGGTGGAGGTTGGGTGGTTGGTCCTTCGTTCACTGCTGCAATGGAGAAGTGAAATCCATTCATCATTCCAGGACAAAGCTTGCTTCCCCTATCAGTGGTCGGCAAACTCAGTAGCCAAGAGAGCCAAATGTCAACAGTACAACGATTGAAATTTCTTTTGAGAGTCAAATTTTTTAAACTTAAACTATGTAGGTAGGTACATTGTTATTAACTTAATTAGGGTACTCCTAAGGCAGTGATGGCGAACCTTTTGAGCTCGACGTGTCAGCATTTTGAAAAACCCTAACTTAACTCTGGTGCCGTGTCACATATAGAAATTTTTTGATATTTGCAACCATAGTAAAACAAAGATTTATATTTTTGATATTTATTTTATATATTTAAATGCCATTTAACAAAGAAAAATCAACCAAAAAAATGAGTTCGCGTGTCACCTCTGACACGCGTGTCATAGGTTCGCCATCACTGTCCTAAGGCTTAGGAAGAGCCACACTCAAGGGGCCAAAGAGCCGCGTGTGGCTCGCGAGCCGCAGTTTGTTGACCACAGCCCTAGGTCATCTGAGAGCCCCTGGATCAATGCAGAATGATCTGCGAAGATCTGGCCAACCTCTTCTTCATGTTATGAGCACCCCCGTTCTTCTTGGTATATTCATGGGATATGATAGCACTGCCCCTTTAAACCACAGAAATAGATCCAGCGAGACAGGCCTCTACTTTTCAGGAATAGTAGTAAAATATGTACAGCACACACTACATTGCCTGAACTGTCTGGGCGCTGTAATCATAAGTGATGAAGCGAGAAAAAAGAGTTATTTCTCTCTTCATAAGTGGCAATGTCAGTGAAATTCAATGTACCAAACCCAGCTACAGCTGCATTATTATCCAGCAGCCAATATGCCAATTCTTCTGTGATTTACACATGCTATGCCAACTATCAAACACATCAGTTACCGGGTGTTAAAGGCGTGGCTAATAAAATGACACAAATGATACCCCTAGCATTATCTTCCATAACAAAATAGAAGTACATCCAACTAAGAAGTTACATGAGGGACGACTCTGTGGGAACAAGCTGAATGCAGAATGATAATTTTTTCTCTTTTGTAGCAAACCTCGTAATTTGCTGTTAGATTACTATAGTTGAAGAGGTTTCGCATAGTCATCTGTGACAGCCGTTGGGTATTTGGACAGTTTTGCATAAGGAAACACACCTTTCCCCCCAGAGAACACAGTTGAATGGACTTAAACATTGGCAAGGCCGTTCCCCATGCTAAGGACACTGTGATTTGCCTTTATTCATTCAAAGGCACAGTCAATAGGTCCAAGTTAAACCACACAGGAAAAGAGCTGCATAGGAAGTAGAAGTGTTGATAAAGTAAGAGTATTTCTGATTATTTATTTCTTAAGAAAGTTCTATTGGGTAAGTTGGAAAAAAATGCAGGAATGGAAGATAATATCTCACTTCTGAAAAATAATTTTTAACCAGGAACTATTTCAAGAAAATTACTTTGTGAGATAATTTTGAGACAACTCTCTGGGAGGCTCAGTGAGGTCAGCAAAGGGCAGAAGAGATAGAAAGAAAATCTGATAATGCTGAAGGGAGTAGAAATTAAGATAGCAAAGAACAAGACATGCTATTAAAGATATGCAAAAGTGAAATGTGCCTTCGGAGGGGATATGATATTAAAACTCATTTTTCTATATTCAGAAAGGGTTAGAGGTCCCCTGGGTCACTGAGAAGCCTCAGGCTCACCCCATGCAAAGATGAGGATGAGGAGATAAAGGGTTGGCTGAGGACAGGATGTAGCAACATAGCAACCAGAGCCAAAAACAGATAAACACTCGAAAACAACAACAATAACAAAAAACAGTTCTTCAAAGAAGAAAAATGCAGCCAAGAGAGCAAAGTAGATAGGACTCTGGGGGCAAGAGGAGTTTGAACTGAAGGGCCTCATCCCCAGGCCAGGAAGCCCTGTTAAAAGTGGAGAGAGGGGCCCATGCGTGCAAAATGGCAAGAGCTTCAAGGAAAACATTAAGGCACATTCTTGTTGGTTCTCAGATAAGAGCAGAAGGGATGGGTCTTCAGGTAGGTATTATCGGAGCTACATTCTACATGCCTGTTAGAATGTAAAGGGGAGAGGAACATGTGTGCTTGTGTTCAGTCAAGATTGTGTAACCTGTTGGATGAGAATACAGTTTTAGAGATAAAGACAATGTAAAGTTTTAGTCTGGACTATTATTCAGTCTAAAGGAGAAAATTACCAATGTTCTATTGTCCAAGTTAAAAAGAAAATGTCTCCACTCTAGGTCAGAGAGAAGCAGCGGCAGGGACCTATATGTAGGTCCCTCCTCTTCATTATCAATGGGCTGTTTTTTTTTTTTTTTTAAAAAAAATATTTTTTATTGGTTTCAGAGAGGAAGGGAAAGGAAGAGAGAGAGAGAAACATCAATGATGAGAGGGAATCATTGATCGGCTGCCTCTTGCACGCCCCCTACTGGGGACCGAGCCCACAATTCAGGCATGTGCCCTTGACCGGGATCGAACCCGGGACCTTTGAGTCTGTAGGCCAATGCTCTATCCACTGAGCAAAACTGGCCAGGGCAATGGGCTGGTTTTTGTTAAAGGGTCCATATTATCATATTAAAAAATACCTCTCTAGGGAAAGTTTGGAATTTTCCTCAGAAACCTGCCTTAAGTAATTCCCTCGATCAAAGACGGATTGCAATTAATTCATACCATATTTTAAAAATGGCTTTTTAGCCATTAAGAAAGTATTTCATGAGTTTTTCTCTTCTTTATTCCTTCCATCATATTTTTCTCATCTCTCCTACATTTTTGAAATGAAAGAGATCTATGTTAAAATATTATTGCGGTCGTAGCTTTAATAAAATTTACATGCACATTTTTAGTCTGAAATTTAGTTTTTTAAAAACCTCAAGCTTCACATTAATTCTGATGATGTCGCTGGATTTTGGGGGCTGCTCCCATTCTCCTTCTCTTTAATGGCATTCTCATCAGCATCTGATACATAAGGATTCTCTGTGTGCCCAGCCCTCCATCCTCAGGTGTTTGCCTGGCCACCATGATTCCCATCGGAACCACCGCGATGTGGCTCTTGACTTTGAGGGAAGGAACGGACAGGATGTAGCAACACAGCAACCAGAGGGACCTGCTCTTTAGTGAAATCAATCCTTACCACCACACATAGGGAAAAGGAACGTGCCTAATCTGATCTGCTAGGTGGGGAATGGAAGGGCCCATCCTCCTGACTAAATGTATCAGTGATTCATAAGGAACTGTTTTTGTTTTGTTCAATATGACAATTGTGCTTAATACCTAATACACTGGACAAGGTACAGGATTCTATAGAAAAATCACAACTTTTATATTCTTATATGGAGCAAAAGGAATGCTGTTCAGACCTGACTGACAGGTAAGGCAGGGAGAACTCTTTTTTTAAAAAAAATATATTTTATTGATTTTTTACAGAGAGGAAGGGAGAGAGATAGAGGGTTAGAAACATCGATGAGAGAGAAACATCGATCAGCTGCCTCCTGCACATCTCCTACTGGGAATGTGCCCGCAACCCAGGTACATGCCCTTGACCGGAATCAAACCTGGGACCTCTCAGTCCGCAGGCTGACGCTCTATCCACTGAGCCAAACCGGTTTCGGCAGGGAGAACTCTTAAACAAACACAGTATCATCTGCTCCACTGGAGGGAGGCCCTCATTTTAGATGAGCCCCTTCGGCCAGTCCAGGCACCAGCTTCAGGAATCCTATGTGAAGCAGATTGGCTCATGACAGGACGTTAGCTGTGCTAAGAGCTCTGAAAGCAAAGAAAACCTCCATTCGCCCACAAAGTGCAGCCTCCCTGCCATTCAGAGGGTAAAGCAAGAATCAAACATGTCCCAGCAAGGCACTTGTTCGCAAAGGAAGAAATGTTAGAAATACATTGTACAAATAGCACACAATTACACAACGGAGTCAAATCTCAGGGCACTTTATAAAAATTTATGTCAACACATAAATCACTGCAACAGAATAACTGGCAAATATATTGCAAAAATGGAAATGAGGATTTTTCTTCTGTCTAAAATAGCTACATTTGAAAGAAATAAAGCATACCCATGACTCTAGGCAAAGACACTTTGAGACATAAACACCTTTAGGAACGTGCTTCACTTATCAATCTCAGAAGAATAGCATCGGGCAATATTTCTGAGCAACCCCAGCTCCTCACAGCCTAGATTTTTCATAAGAACCTAGAGAAAAATCTATTAACACCCTTGCACTCCTGGTATTATCTAGATCAAGCCCCATTGTAAGTTAATTTCCAATTCGGGGTAGAGCTGGAGCAGAAAAATAACATGGCAAAAGTTGACCAGCCTTCTCACTAAGACAATGCTCAACTTGAAAGGAACAATGGACATCACCTGACTTTCTCCTGCTTCAAAGATGAAGAAGTGGGGGTACCAATTTTGTCATGACTTGGCCCCAAGACTATCTATTGGTTGAAGTTTTTTAAAGATAGCACTGCTCCACATTTTCCACGGACAACTCATTTGCCTATTGAGGCTAAGGTCAAACCTGCAGTGTATTGGTAGGAAAAGAAAATATCTGTCTATCAAAACTGCATAAATCTCTGTCGATAGATCACCAAATGTGTGTAATGCGAATACATTATATCTTTTCCCCCCCTTACGGTAGGAGAGACATGCAGCTGTATCTGTGACTTCAGAAAGCAGTGTGTCTCTGGGGGCCGGGTTTCAGTGATTTATTTCTTGTAAAACTCAAAGTTCTTTCGGGTAACTTTGGAGGAAGAGGAGCCTACGCTTGCACACATTTTTCTTTTCCTACGTGTGCCTTTCACTGTTCCTCAAGGTGACTAATAAGACATCTCTAGCCGGAGTCATGAAGTGTTTTCTGCTTGAGAGAGAACAGGGATGTTTAGAGTTCTCCAAGGCATTTAGAAACCAATACTGAATGGCTGGGAGTTAACTGTTTCTGACAGTGATTCAGAGAATATTTAGTTTCCTAGAAAAGAGGGTGCTTATTTTTTTTCTAAGCAATCACTTGGAAACACATATTTGTTCCCATTCCTTTGGCACTGCACATAGCTCTGCTCAAAAGTCCTTGACGAATGACTGAAGACATATTTTTAAAATCCATGACATCTAGGAATAGAAGAATGTCTATGCGTTTTGATTTTAGATGAGGTTCAAAAGCACTCTGTCAAGAATCCTTTATTTATATAACTTTATATAATTGTTATATATTTTATTATATACTATTTAAAAGTTATATAACTACCTTTTCAATTATATCTACTTTTAAACAAATTAACAAAATAAAATCTACACAGGGACTAAAGTTTTTTTTCCTTCCTTTTTTTGTTCCTTCCTTTCTTTCCTTACTCATTTCTCCCTTTCTTAATAAAGCTTATTTTTTAGAGCAGTTTTAGATTCACAGCAAAATTGAATGGCAGACACAGAGGTATCTCTGCTTCCACATATGCGCAGCTTCCCACACTCTCCGAGTCCTGCACCAGAGTGGCTCATGAGACTCTAACCACCGACAAAAACAAATTGTGTACTAGTTCATTCATTGCTTTCTTTTTCATTGAACTTCCACTTTTGGAGTCATTTCCCCCGTGATTCAATGCGACAGTTTTGCATGTTGTACCAAATCAAGAGAGAAGGAAAAGAAGAAATGGGTTACTGGATTTTCCAAAGGAGTCTATGCCTTTAACTAAGGAAAAGAAATTACAGGAATACACTATCTACACTAATAAAAGAGAAACATGGTAATTGGCGTACGACCGCTACCCTTCCCATTAACCACCGACAAAAACAAATTGTGTACTAGTTCATTCATTGCTTTCTTTTTCATTGAACTTCCACTTTTGGAGTCATTTCCCCCGTGATTCAATGCGACAGTTTTGCATGTTGTACCAAATCAAGAGAGAAGGAAAAGAAGAAATGGGTTACTGGATTTTCCAAAGGAGACTATGCCTTTAACTAAGGAAAAGAAATTACAGGAATACACTATGAATAAATAAAAGTTAATTTTTAATTTTAAAAAAAGTAGTAAACTTTGGCTTATACCCGTCTTGCTGGAGTTGAACAGATAAAGGTCATTCTATACATCCTTCCTAAAGTTAGAGAACATAAATGAAATCAAAAGAAAGTAGTAGGAAATGATCCAAAGGGAAAACTAAACTAAAACTAACTCTCTTTTCTGCTGGGGGGAGGACATTTTAAAAGTTGAAAAGGGGACTTGTGGTTCTGAATTCTTTGACTGAAATTACCTTCCTAATTGTCCTGGGTTTTAGAAATTTTTAGTTATGGGACTTCCCACATTTTTCTCATTTAATTCCCTCCAACATGGTTTGAGGGACTATTTTCTCTCAAGTTTTCTGCACACAACTCTATTCTGTAGATATGATGTGCAGTGAGAAAAGGGAAAATAAACCCAATTCTCTCTTGGCAGATTTTTGATGCCTTTTAATTCTAACCTTCCTGCATCTAACAATTTATGATTTGTTAGAGATATAGCTTACTTCACAAATATATTTTATTGCTGTTACCATCTTCTCTATTACAAAACATCCTATTTCACATGAGCTGCTGAGTCACCTGTTCTTAACTAAGAGAAGAAAGCCATAAAATCGATTTTAAAATGTGCTTGAAGGGAAAAAAGTCAAATGGTACAGGAAAAATCATCAGGGTATATATAATAGCTTGAGAGTCTCTCCATTCCCACCTTTCTTCAAACAAATGAAATACTACTACCAGGATACAAAATCAATAGCCCCAAATTAATTGCATCCACACAAATTCTCAGAAAAAATTAAGCATATAATCTCATTTAAGGTAGCATCAAAATAAATGCTTAGGAACAAATTTAGTTAAAAAGGGAAATATCTATACATTGAAAACTATAAGACATTGATAGAAGACATTGAAGAAGATACAAACAAATGGAAAGCTAATCTGTGCTCATCAATTAAAAGAATTAATATTGTTAAAATGTCCATACTAGCCAAGGTGATCTACAGATTCAATGGTATTTTTCATAGAAATAAAAAAAATTCCTAAAAACTATAGATCCAAACAGCCAAATAAACCTTTAGAAAGAAGAACAAAACTGGAGACATCACACTTCCTGATTTCAAACTATATTACAAAGCTATGGTGACCAACATAGTATGGTATGGGCATAAAATATAAATCAATGGTATAGAATAGGAAGTTCAGAAATAAGCCCATGCATATATGGCCAATTAATTTGTGACAAAGCAGCCAAGAATATACAGGGTGGGACAAAATTAGGTTTAGAGTTGTTCATATGAAAAATAATACAATAATTAATATATAATACAAAATAAACTGTATTTTGTATATTCACAATTGTAAACCTACTTTTGCTTCCAACCTGTACAATATAAAAAGAATACTCTCTTTAATAAATGGTGCTGAGGAAACGAAATTGTCACATTAAAAAAATAAAACCAGACCCCTATCTTACACCAAACACAAAAACAACTCATAAAGGATTAAGGCCTTAAATTTAAGACCTGATGCTATAAAACTCCTAAAAGAATATATAAGGGTAAGCTCCTTGACTTTGGTCTTAGCAATGGTTATTTAGATTTGACACTAAATGTAAAGGCACCAAAAGCAACAATAAGCAAATGAGGAACCACACCAAATTTCAAAGCTCCAATACAGCAAAGGAAACCATGAACAAAACGAAAAGGCAATGTAAGGGGTGGTAGAAAATATTTGGAAATCATTTATCTGATAACGGGTGAATATTCAAAATATATTTAAAAACTCATAAGAACTTGTATGCATGCATATTAGCATAACCAATGGACACAGACACCAGTGGGGTGAGGGCATGTGAGGGTGTGGGGGGGAATAGGGTATAAGGACACATTTGTAAAGAAAAAAAACCCAAAACAAAACTACAAAACTACCAATTATTAAAAGACAAAACAAACAACAAAACTCATAAAACTCAAAAGCAAAAATAATCCATTCAATAATATTTAAAAAGTGGACAGAGGCACTGAATGGACATTTTTCCAAAGAAGACACACAAACGGGCAACCGGTACATGACAAGGTGCTTAGCATCACTAATCATCAGGGAGATGCAAATCACAACCACAATGAGATATCACTTCACACCTTTTAGAATGGGTCTCATCCGAAAGACAAAAGATGACACATGTTGGTGATGGTGCACTGCTGGTGGGCATGTAAACTGGTGTAGATACTATGGAAAACAGTATGGAGTTTCCTAAAAAATTAAAAATAGAACTACCAGTGGACCCAGCAATCCCACCTCTGGAAATAATTTATCCAATGGAAACAAATATCTATCTCATAGAGATGCCTGCACTCCCATGTTCATCATAGCATCATTCACAATTGCCAAGGTGTAAAATCAAGCTAAGTGTCCATCAATGGATGAATGAATAAAGAAGATGTGGTACTATATGTACAATGAATTTTTATTCAGCCGTGAGAAAGAAGGATGCTCTGCCCTTTGTGACAACATGGATGACCATGAGGACATTGTGCTAAATAAAATTCCAAGCACCCATCAAAGCATCACTTTCCTGAACCATTGAACCTTTGCTTCCCATCACTCCTTATATTGTCAGTTAAGTGTACTGTGGAAAGAGATCCTAGGGAATCAGTCCAAAAGCACGAAGTAGGATCCAAAGGATTGACTATGTTGGAAAAAAATTCTCCTACCCAGGTCATGGGTAAGTCAATCTTTCTAAGAGATAAGAACATCAAAATGCTACACCTTTGACAAGATACCCCATGGTATTATTCATTGGTTCCCATTAAAAAACAAAAACAAAAACAAGAGGAAATACATTATACTGACTTTTTCCTGTTCCGAAACCTCGGTCCACTGACAGCGTTGGGAATGGCACAGGCCGGAGTGTGAACTGTGGGTGGGGGTATCCACACGTGGGAGACGGAAGGATTCCTGGGTACTGGGCACTTTCTAGGGTTGGCACAGGAATGGCACTCACAACAGCTGCAACACAAAGATATTAATTTTTTAATCCTATGTATTCACATGACTGGCAATGGAAGTGGCTATATTTTCACATCATTAAATCCATGCATGCTCTTCACAGTATCGTGTAGGTTCTTACCTCTTTCCATGAACTCCTTCACTAATAATTTTAGAAAAGACAACCCACTCCTCCAGCATCTGACTACTAAGAAGCATTATCCTGAAGTTTAAAACTTCCAGGGTTTCAAACAAAGGCATGATTAATCAAGCCACCATAGGACCACCTTAAGGCTCCCTGGGTTTTAACTATTTTTTCTTATTTTTTCTCATAAGCCAGAACAATGGCATTAAAAATGTTGGGTTGTTCAGAAACTGAATCTATTGTATAGAGTGGGCTGAAGAAATGCGAATTTTCTGTTAATTCTGCAAAAGAATTTAACGCTTTTGAGAGATATTCTGGAAACTAAGGCTCTAAGAGTCAGAACCCCAAACCTGCGCTGCGTCTATTCACTGCACTGTTGCCTCATGTTGTCACCTCAAATTCTGAATTGCTCTGTGACTATAAAAACAAACCTTCTCTTTTTCCTAGAGTCTTACTCTATGCGAATGGTGGCCCTAACATGACTAGCAATTTATTTATTTTTATTATTTAAAAAACTATAATATAAGGCATGTATATGATTTTAAACATATATATCTTTGAAGTTACTTTGTCACATAAATTCTTTGTTATCTCCAAGCTCTGTGTTGGTGAAGCTTTATTCAACAAAAGGAAATGACTTCAACATATAATCAAAGTTGATTTTAAAGTAAACTTTTAAGCTTTTTGATAAATAAAATAGGCCTTTTGCAACTGATGTGATTGATAAGGCCCTAGATAACTGTGCTGATCAAACTGTAAATATGCATCTTGGCAGGGTTGTGATTTCATGCAGTCATGTGGCAGATACTTAGCAAGCACTAATTCTGTGCTAGGTATTGAGCCATACAGTGGGTGAATATGAAGATAAATTAGGTAATTTGTTCCCTCTCATGTACTTTACAACCTGTTAGAGGAGGGACGATTTGGACTTGATTACCTAAGAAGATGGGGCAGAGCTTGTATACCATAATTAATGCCACAAAAGTGGTATAAAAGTGCTATTCAAACATGAGAAAAGAAACGATCATTTCTGAACGAGGTAATCAGAAAAGAGAGAATGTATGAGATCTGGAATCAGTATCTGCTCTGGTCTTTGAAAGATGCACAGAACTTTGTTAGGTAGCGTTAGGCACTGGGTCATTCCAAAACGAAAAATGTGTTCAGAAGGAAAAGCAAATAAAAGGCAATGGATATTAGTGGACTGGCAATTAGTCTAGCTCAGTAAGAGACTAGGGTATGCATAACAGAGAAGGGCAGAGCCACAGGAACCTAGGAATGTAGACTCAAACCTGATATGCTGAGGAGTTTGTACTTGTTTTTCTTGGTAGACACTGGGGAGCCATTGGGGAGATGTATGGAATGGAATGTCATGTTTAAGTTGTTTTAGGAAGAAATCTGGTAAGAGGGATGCAAAAGAGTCTGGAAGACACACTAGAGATAGGAAGAGTAATTATGAAGCTGTTTGGACAGTTCAGGTGTGAGGCCATAATGAATAGAATAAAAATGTGACTCTTGGGAATGGGAAGGTAGCCAGGGATTCAAAAGCTATTGTGGAAGGAAAGTCAATGGGAATCGGAACTTACTGGATGCGAAAGTTATACGTGGGACAGAAAGGCGCACAAAGATTCTGAAACACAATGATTTTGAAAAAGAAAGCTAAGTTAGATTGGCACCGATAGAACTCAGTGACAAGAGGAAAGTGACTGGAGGGAGAAAAAATAGGGGCAGCTACATGTACACAGTCTCTCTGTGTAGTGAAATGAATGGGAAAAAAAGAACAATGGCTTCACAGAATGTGATAGCTGGGAGCATAATGATTAGAGTGTAGAGCTCTGAAGCCAGACCTCTGTGTCCAAAGTCTGGCTCTGACACTCACTCACTGTGTGAAGGCAAGCCATGTCCTTAAACTCTCCAAACCTCTGCTTGCTTATCAGTGAAACAGGAATAATAATATTGTCTACCCCATGAGTTGAACAGTTGGCATTCGTTATAAATTCCATATATGTTTTTGTACTTACTATGGTACAATGAGAGATATGATGTATAGAGGAGATAAGATGTATAGCAAGTAGAAACAACCATTAATTCATTCTCTTGAGTGAATTGTATCAATTGTGTGCCTACCATGTGCCAGGCTCTGTTCTGGTTATTGAGGATACAAAGTAATCAAAACAGGCGAAATCTCTGCTCACATATAAATTGCATTAAGATATGGAAAACAAATAATAAATAAACACAAACATGTAAGTAGGACGGTCATACACAATAAAGGAAAATAAAGCAGAATGACCAAAGATGCCATGTTAGGCAATGGTCAGGGAAGTCCTGTTTGTGGTAGTGGCAGTTGAATACAGACTTGAACGATATGAGGGAATAACCGTATAAATCTCTACGAAAAGAGATTCCAAGCAAAGAGAACAGCAAGTGAAAAACCCCTGAGTTGGAAGGTGCATTATTGTCCAAAAAAACAAAGAAGAGGACTCTGGCTGAAATGGATTACAGACAGAAGCAGCAGGGGATGAAGTGAGGGATAAGGCCAGAGGGTGGATCACATGGTACCTGGTAAGACATGGTAAAAACATTGGATTTTGTTCTATATGTGATGGAAGTCAAGAGGGGTAACACAGGGAATACCTTTCAATGTTTGTATATTGAAAGGCTAATGAGAAGTCAACTTACTGTAGGCTCAAGAGCTAAAGGGAAGAAAGTAGTTACACGCTTACAGCTATAGTCTGTTATCTTTAATAGATAGTGGTGTGTAGGATATGGGCAGAGCAGTGAAAATGGAAAGCAGTGGTCAGATTTGGGACAAGTTTTGAAAGCAAGAACTAAAGATTAAATTTGGAGTGTGAGAAAATCAAAATGAAACTGAAGTTGAATTAGAGTAAATGAATCAATAGTGGTACCATGTAGTGAATGGGGAAAATAGTAGGAGGATTGAGTTTGGAGTTGGGGAGAGGAATTATGGAAGAGCAAGATTTTCATTTTGAACATAGATGGCTTGCTTATTAGATAGCCATTTGGAGATGTTTAGTGAGCATTTGTGTAGAAGTTGATGTGGATTCTGGGAAGAAATTAAGCTGGTGATGACATTTGGGATTCATGCGCATTTACGTGGCATTAAGGCCATTGGTACTAGATCATCTGAGAAGCTAGTGTAGATAGACGAGAGAAGCTTGAAGACCAAGACCTGGCGCACACTCTGACTCTTGGGATTGGGAAGAAGAGGGGGAACAAGTGAAGGATACTGAGAAGGAGCAGCCAGTGGGATAGGAAGGAAAGCAGGAGCATTTAGTATACTACAACTCAACTCAAAACGTATTTCAGAACAAAGAGTGAGAAGCTGTGTCCAATTTTCCTGAGCATCTGAGAATTGATCATTTGATCAATGTGGAAATTATTGATAACTTGGCAACCATGGTTTCAATTGAGAGGCACTGGAAAAAAAGGCCTTAAAATGAATAAGGAAGATTAAAAGAGGACAAAGGAAAGTATAGACAACTTTAAAGGGGTTTTCAAGCAAGGAGAGGAGTGGAGCTTCAGGTGGAGGGGAAAGTGGAATCAAGGGAGGGTGCTATGTAAAACAGGAATTGTGAGACAATATTTGTATGCTTATTGGAGTTATCATTTGGAGGAGAAACTGATGCTACAGAAAAGGGAGAGAGGAGGACAGAAGAGTCCCTAAGTGGGTAAGAAAGGGATATCCACAAGAGAAAGAACCAGCCTTAGGTAAAAGTACAAATAGATTGACTCAATTTGATGGAAAGATAGGGATAGGATTTCTGAATGCTTCTCTTTTCTTACTGAAATAAGAACCAAGGAAATAGGTATCGGGAGTCTGAAAAGTGAGAACAGATATAAGACATTCATCTTACAAAGTGAGACAATGAATGACTACAGAAACGCAGTGGCATGGTTTGTTTTTTTTCTAAAGTCAGCTATTAGGGTATGTGGTAAGAGTTGGCAGAGAAGCTGATTTAACCAGGGTTGTTTTTTCAGGTGATATAATCGGGAAGGAGGACCAAAGGAGATGAGGGTGTTTGCAAAGGACTAAAAATAATAAATGATGATGGATTAGAAACCGAGTTTGGATGAAAATGAGGACATGAGGTGATGAGGAACACTGGAAACGTGGCAGAGTTAATGGATGGGAGGTCACAGTGAAATTGAAGAATTGTTGGCAAGGGGGAAATCAAATAAGTGAGCAAGAAAGTAATAAGGTGCTGGAAAAACAGATGATAGAAACTGACATTTTGTAGGGGGTGTGATTATTGCTTTAGTGTGTGACATGGAATTGATATGTTGCAGTGGGAGAGAACCAATATCATTGCAGGTAACATAAGGGAACTAACAGTCTAGGGCCCTGGATGGATTGTCTGCATGGGTATTGTAATTACCAAGATTGATCATAGAGGTAATTGAAAGGAAGGGGTCCCCAGATACTAATATCTTCAATAAATATGGGAGTATGACAGAAAACTTCAACAAGAAGGGGATAGTGAATGACTATCTCTCAATACTTGCTTCAAGGGTGCTAGATTATTTAAGTTTAAAAACTGTACTTACTACATAATTTAAAAAACCTATGAAGGTGATCATTAGAATAAGTTCAATAATATTGACATAAATTTCAACTCTT